CCCCCCCCAACTCCCAGATTGTCTGGGCCAGCCGCTCGACCTGGACACCCTGCTGCCCCCGGAGTCCGTGACGTCACGTGGTCTGAGCATGCGCGAGGCGGGCCTGTTGTTGCTGACCCTGTGCTGGGAGGACTCGCAGCTGTTGGACCAGTGTCAGAGAAGTAGGTCATTTGTGACACTCTCACATCACTACCAGTGTCAGAGAAGTAGGTCACTTGTGACACACTCACACCACTACCAGTGTCAGAGAAGTAGGTCACTCGTCACACTTATAGTAACTACAACAACAGCTGTTGGACCAGTGTCAGAGAAGTAGGTCACTGACTGCCACACACTCACACCACTACCAGTGTCAGAGAAGTAGGTGACACACGTTTTTTTAATAAAAGTTTTACGGCACTTGCAACACAATAAGGTCATATAAGTACCGAAGATTAGAGGTGTTACAAGAGAGTATCATACACAAAAATAGAAAGAGGGGAGATCATGACGATAGATGTTTGATAGGAAAGAAGGAGCAAACCACACCAGAGCACCCGCCAACCGTCCACTCACATACTCACAATAACAGCAATGATATCAGTGTCAGAGAAGTAGGTCACTAACTGTGACACACTTTTTAATTAATTTTTTTTTAAAGTTTTAAAGCTCGCAACTGCATAAGGTCATATGAACACCAGAAGATTAGAGGTGTTACAAGAGAGTAACAAACATAAAAAAGATAGTAAATATAATATTATTATAACCGATGACAGTAACAATAATAACAACAACAACAACGACACTACCAGTGTCAGAGAAGTAGGTCACTTGTTTACTTTAGTTTTAGTAAGAGTTTTACGGCACTTGTAACACAATAAGGTCATATAAGTGCCGAAGATTAGAGGTGTTACAAGACAATAGCAATAAGGAGACAATAACAACAACAACAACAGCAACAACACCACCACCACCAACAACAACAACAACAACAGCAACAACAACAGCAACAACAACAGCAACAACAGCAACAACAACAGCAACAACAACAGCAACAGCAACAACAACAACAACAACAACAACAACAACAACAACAACAACAACAACAACACTATCAGTATCAGAGAAGTAGGTCACTCGTCACACACTCTCAAACCAAGGATTCTCTGGGCTACAAGTAGTAGACAATCTTTGGTAACTACGGCAGTTGTAATAACTATATCGCCGATAATAATAAAAACGATAATACAAAGGATGGTAATAATGATAATAAGAATAATGATAATAAAACGCATCATCATCATAATAGAAGAAGAAGAAGAAGAAGAAGAAGAAGAAGAAGAAGAAGAAGAAGAAGAAGAAGAAGAAGAAGAAGAAGAAGAAGA